GATTAATTGTGCAGCCCTATTTAATACCTTTTTAAACCTTTAACCTTTTTAAAAAAAAAAAAAAAAGAGAATCAGATCAGATTCAGAGTTTCTCATGCTATCCAGTAAGCTGTTCCAAATTTTGTCCCTCATAAAAGTATGAACTAAAAAAAGAGCATTTTGACTTTGCTTGTATTATTCTTATGCTGGTCTTTATTATGCTCAAATGCCTGTACACTACGCAACGTTTAACCATTTCAATCATCTAATGGTCCAGTGTGTCACATTTAGGAAAATCTATTGGAATATAATATGCTGAATCTAGGAATTGTTGGTGTTTATGTTACATTAGGATGAGCCTTCCATATTGAACCGCCATGTTTCTACAGTAGCCCAGAATAGACAAACACTGGCTCTAGATAGGGGCATTTACATTTTTCACGCATTTCGCAGCCACTGTAGTTTCTCCTTTGTGCTTGGTGCAATTTCATACAATTTGTACAAAATAAGATGATGTTGTTCCTTAGAAAGAATATGATAGAAATAGAAATTGCACTTTTAGTCAGTTCTTGACATTTTCCAACGCTTTAATACCTCCTAGGAGTTTACTTACTTTTATCTCACTAAATCTCATAGGCACTGAAAATAAGAAAAGAGAGAAGAGTTCAAACTCGATTCACATCCTAATTATTCTGCGCTCTGTAGGTGAACTTCAACGAGCCCATTTCCATGCTGCAACGGTTGTCGGAGGACCTCGAGTACCACGAGCTGCTGGATAAGGCCTCCAAGAGCCAGAGTTCGCTGGAGCAAATGTGCTACGTGGCCGCCTTCTCCGTGTCCTCCTACTCGACCACCGTCCACCGCACAGGCAAGCCCTTCAACCCTCTGCTAGGAGAGACGTATGAGCTGGACCGCCGGAGAGAGAGCGGCTACCGCTCCCTCTGTGAGCAGGTATGGGAAAAGAGAAATGTAGAAAGACAGAAGGCTTCCATCAAGGAAGTGAAACTAAACAAAGAATGGATGTTAGGAAGGGTGACTTGAAAAATCATACTGACTCAGCATGTTGAGAGAGGTTTGCTTCCTTTTTCTGATGTATTTGGGGATGCACAGGGGATGTTAGAGGGAACTGGAATTCATGAGTGTAAACTAATGAAATCAGGACTCGAAGGGAAGCCTTGTCATAATTGAGGGTTGGAGGATGGTTAAACATACGTTATTATATTATCATTATTATTATATCAAGTTGAAAAAGTAACTTCCGTTTTCTTGTTTTATGGGTAAGTAGATGCATAATGTGGAAAAAAGAATGTTTACAGAGGCTGGGAAGGATTTGTGGAGGCAATTGCACTGAATAGAGGTTTGATGTTGGAAAATGAGAACTGTAGAAAGATTTCTATTCCCGAAGAACAAGAAAATATATTCAGTGTAATAAATAAGCCCATTAATTGTGCGTTCAGGCAGCAAATATATATAGACTGGATTAAATCTGTTACAAAGGCTTTAAATGAGATTGGACAAGTGGGTGCAACTATTAAATCCTATTGTAGATGAGTAATATAATTGGATTTGAGATTTATCGTGGGCAATTTCATGCACCTCGGTGTAACAACAGGGTATTTTTTTCATACGTGACAGGTCTGTCAATGTGTCTGTGTCTAAAGACTCAATGTGAGTCATTAATAAAAAAGGAGGATCCAAACCTACAAAGCTAATTGCACTTAATGACAACAAAACTGGGAACTCCATGTAGTCTTTTACCTCTGTCACAGGTGAGTCACCACCCCCCTGCAGCAGCGCATCATGTGATCTCTGATCGTGGCTGGACCTTAAGGCAAGAGATCACTGTTGCCAGCAAGTTCAGGGGCAAATACCTCTCCATCATGCCTTTGGGTAAGACTCTTGTTCCTAACATGTTAAACGTTCTTTGTGGTCTGATTGAGACGTAGGATTAGGGTGTGACGCGAACATTGAGATTATTTTCTGATAGACAGAAACCAATCATTATCGTATCCTTATAAGAGATCAGTGATTAAAGCTCGAGGAATGTGCCAGTCACACCTTGGTGCAATGGAAACATTCTCTATTGCAAGAGTATTGAACAATGGTTTGTTTTGTCAGATGTGGTTTGTTTGTTTACCGTCTTTATTGCTTCTTTCTTTTCAGGCACGATTCATGCAATCTTTGAGAAGAGTAACAATCACTACACATGGAAGAAAGTTACCACCACAGTGCACAACATTATTGTAGGAAAACTATGGATTGATCAGGTGAGTTAAAGCAAGGTGACACATTTGAACAAAGCTTTGAATAAACAGAAGCACCCTCCTTTAGCTAGTATACAAGTATTATGCGGTGGGAAAAAGGGGAATTTAACAAAGGTTCCCCGGCAAAGTCAAACCTGTATCACCCGTTTCAATTACATGGTTAGTGTATTGTCTTTAGCCACAGATTGTTCCCCAGTTGTTAGTGGAGTTTAAGAAGAGGTGGGGTGGTATGGATGAAAAGTCGTATCACGGTATATGAACATTTATATTGCAATTTATTATCGTTATCTTTCTGCAGATTCACCTGAAAGACCATGCACAGATAAAATAACCAGATTAAGTCAGTCAGTTTGCGCCTCAATTGGTCAGGTAAAAATCCTGTATTGCCATGAACTGATTTGCATTTCCTTCACCCGGCTTATGCAACAGAGGTATTGAAGGAATCAAGGAAATGTATTATACAACACAAGGTTGTATAACAAAAAGAACGTGTTTTTTTTTTTTGTGTGTCTGGGGGAATGTAAACAGAAGAAGATGGTGATTAACCATAAAATCTCCTGGTCCTGTCAATTTGAATAAGTTTGACATAGCCCTTAAAAATCAAACCCAATCAGATCACATTGTAGGTGACGAGTACAGATAAAATCCTTTGAAAATGGTTCCTGACTTGCATGTCACAGCGCATTATTGTCTTATTGCCAACTCTAAATGGACGTTTTTGTTTGGTGGAATATGAAAATGTCTTCACTGTGTCAGATTTCCTCAAAACCTTCTCTTTCTTTCTCTCTGTGCCAGTCGGGAGAGATAGACGTAGTGAACCACACCACCGGAGACCGCTGCCACTTGAAGTTTGCTCCTTACAGCTACTTCTCCAGAGATGTGGCCAGGAAGGTGAGAAAAATACCCTTTGACTTTACCACATGAAACTTTTTTTGTATTTATGTTTTCATGTTCTCTGCAAAATGAAAATCCTGTGGGATCATTTCAACCGATCTACAATTTTACAGTTACGCTACTTTGCCCCCCATCCTGTGACCAGTCTCTTCTGTTTCATGGCTCATTATGCTTTTCTCCTCTGTTGACCCTCTCTCTCCCCCCTTTGTTCAGGTGACCGGTGTGGTGATGGACAAGGATGGCAAGGCCCACTACGTGCTGTCGGGCACGTGGGATGAGAAAATGGAGTTTTCCCGGGTAATGCAGAGCAGCCGAGGAGGGGAGAATGGCACAGAGGGCAAACAGAAAACGGTCTATCAAACCCTCAAAGCCAGAGAGTTGTGGAGAAAGAACCCTCTACCGTAAGTATTATTATATCATATTTATTTAATAACACGTTACAAAAGGCAACAACTTCACATCAAGTAGATCACAGAAAAGGAGTTTTCGAGAGTAATAAGCAGATGAAATGAGTAAAACCAGGAGAACAATGTTTAAAAGGGGTCACTGATTCGGCTTATTTCCTCATGCCGCTCATTCCATAGCTTCGGGGCTCTGACTGCAAATGCTCTTTCACTTTTGTTTTCAGCCGCACATCAGGAACAGATAAAAGTGCAAGGATCTTAGATGTCAAATACACTGAACAAAATTATAAACGCAACACTTCTGTTTTTGTCCTCATTCATCGTGAGCTGAACTCAAAGATCTAAGACTTTCTCCATGTACACAAAAGGCCTA